TTTACAGCTTGTGCTGCAGAACTAAGTTTGCTAACTAATTTAGATATATGAGGGCCCCATTCAATCATCAACTGTAATACCGAGGAAAACAGTGGATTCAACAAGGCCCAACTCTACCCATTTAAAAGCACACTGGTATTCACCTTTTTAACATTAAGTGTAGTGAATTTAACACATTTCTTTTTATTAATGTTCAAAAGCAAATTATTGACGTTAAACCAGTGTACTACTTTTGATATAGCATTATTCACTTCGTCATATTTCAATAATTGCCTTTTTAGTCGGAAAATCAACGAAGTATCATCGGCAAATAATACTATATCATGGCTATTCCCTATAAAGTAAGGTAAGTCATTAATATAAACTAAGAAGAGAAAGGCACCAAGAACTGAGCCCTGAGGAACACCCATAGATAGAGACCCACCCGGAAGAACTGTATTCATTAATAACAACTATTTGCGTTGTATTATTTAAATATGACGTAATAAGTTTAAGCATTATGTTTTTACACCATAATGATGAAGCTTCCTGATTAATGTCTCACGGTTAACACAGTCGAAAGCCTTGGAAAGATCACAAAATATACCCAAAGCATGTTTCCCATGCACAGAAAATATGTTTGATTAGCTCAACACCGGCATCAGTTGTCGAGCGACCCCTTTTAAATCCAAACTGATTGTTATGGATTAGTTTATTTACATTAAAAAACAATAGGTCTAAAATTAGTGGGGTCCAATGTACTGCCAGATTTAAATAAAGGTATAACTTTACTATGTTTCATTAAATCAGGAAACACTCCAGATTCGATACTAGCATTGAAAATAATAGCAAGTTGGGGTGCGATCACATCTTTAATAAATGCTATAACTTTAACAGAAATCCCCCATAGATGCCGACCTGCGCACTCTTAGGATTGCATAGATCCTGCAGTGTGTTTGAGAAATTAAAGGACTTCATGATATTCATGATCAGTCATAAAATCCACTTTTACTTGGTGTAAAGTACATTAAAGACATGCTAAAGACATGGAAAGCACAGGGAGAGGAAGGATTTTTTTTAGTTTTCTTTTTTTATATTGTCGCTATAATTTGGAAAAACCTCAAAACGACAAAAGTATTTTCATTTTATTTATAGGAAACCTCGACCTAGTTCAAAAACGTGTGGTAAATGATTTCTAAAAGTTAAAAATGTTAATGTGCCATCAATATCTTATTAGTTTCAAAATCAGAAGGATGTACTACAACAAGAAGTTAATATTACAAATTCTTCTAAACACGATTCTAAAAATAACAACCGTTGTAGTCGCTAGTTATATTCTATACTAGCTGTTCCCCGCGACTTCGCTCGCGTGTTAGGGTTTTTATTTTTTTGCGCGCAACCCTAATTTTTTGTCTAGAATAAAAGAAGCCTAAGTTACTCCTTATGACATCAGCTATCTACCAGTGACAAACCCGTCAAAATCGGTCCAGCCGTTTCGGAGATTAGCCGGAACAAACAGACAGACAGACAGACAAACAGACGGACAGACTGACAGACAAAAGTTTTAAAAATTGTATTTTAGTTATAAGTATCGTATTTACTTTCATATCCATTTAGTAAAAAGCTGTTATTTTGACATTACAAACGGTCACTTCAATGTTATTTATTTGTATAGATGTATAGATTCATATAAATAACTGTGAAAAACATAGAGCAACAAGGGCTACCGGAGGGACGGAGGGAAGTAACCATATGCAGGCGTTCGTCTCTGTCAAAGTATAAGTCCTCCAGGTTCTACACCTAAAAATTTCTTCTTTTTTAAAAAAAAAACGTTACCCCCACACTAGGATTTTCTCCTGTGTCGTGGAGGCAGTTTACAAACATAAATTGCACGAGGACAAACATCCAGACCCTGAACAATTATTTGTAGGCCATACAAATACTTGTTCCGTGCGGGATTCGAACCCACGGCAACAACTCATTGATAAGCCACTGCGCCACGGAGCCGTTAAAATAAAGCAAAAAAAAAATAAAGCAGCCTCACTGATCACTAGTCACATCTAGTTGCGCGGCTGAATCGACGTGCTACAAAAATTCCGAATTTCCACGCCACGTCAAATTTACAAAAGCATAGCGTTGCCTTTTAAGCACTTTATTGCTATTTACTTCTTTTTAAAATAATTATTTATTAGCGGCCTGTAATTTTACAATAATAACAGGCCGCTCGCCATCGAACAATATGTAAATCGGTCGAATGGCCGATCCGAGTCTGTATCCAAGTTGTCACTGTTGTCCATCTTTGTGTTTGTGTGAAATTGTCAGTTTATTGTTTTAATTGTTATTTATGAGACTTGTAATGACAGACGATGGTTTTTGTGTGCACGGATTCCCCCTCCCCCCCTGCCCACACGGTCCGCCGGTGGCCCGTGTTGCTCTATTGTACAAAATTATTTTAAGTTAATAAACTCTTTTGCAAGAAAAACGAGCACCTAAACAGTGATAATAATTTATACTCAGAATTTTGAAACTAATTAGCAAGAAATAGTTTTCATCAGTTTTATTACATCTTGATTAAATTAATAGTGTACCTGCTCGTTAAGTCAAAATGAAACACCTTTTTTGTTTGTTTTTCTTTGATAAAATAAAAGCAAATAAAAGTTTAGTATGGAGTGTGATCCTCCTGAGCCAACCCTCTTGCTGAAATCACAGCATACATTTGTAGCGAGTATATCTCTTATAGTTTCTTGCGAAATACGTTCTCACTAAGCGGTAATCACATTCTTTAGCTCCCTGATGGTCTGCTGACCCAGCTGCGCTGATCTTACTCATAGCTTTTTTAAGCCTTAATTTTTAAGCTGGAGTCCCTACGAGCGATACGAGCGGCTTCGGTTGTTTAGTAACGAATTATATTAATTTATATTAAGTCTATTTTTCTTTTAGTACAATACTTATGCTATGTTTATTTTATATACGTCGAATTTAGTTTCTTTGAGTTATTTACTATATATTTTATAAGTTTTAAAAAAAGTGTGAAAAATGTTTTTAAACGTGGTAGAGCCATGCTGCAGCTATATTAGTAGTATAGTTGTAGCACAAATGGGTCGGCTCGACCGGGGAAGGACCACGCTCTCACAGAATACCAGCGTAAAATAGCAGTTTAACTTTGCTGTGTTTCGTATGGTGAGTGTAGAGAACCGGAGACCCTTTTTACTGGAAAAGAGGCATTCCATCTTAGTCCTCAAAGTGTGACAACGCATCTGCATTTTGATACGCAAACGAGGATATATGTGGATGTCTATGGGCCACAGCAACCACTTACCTTCAGGTGGGCTGTGTGCTCGTTTATAGTAATAAAAAAAATGTTAAAGCGGATTCTTTTTTCTTGAGGTCTAAGATATTATAAGGTTCTATAACATTTCGCAAAGCATCTCGTGGTGGCATCGTTGTTTTCCAAAATAAGGACATATTTTATAGGTACCCGTGTCCTGTGAGTATTTGGGTTAGTTCGAAGGTGATATTTGCTTTCTCTCTTTAAAGCTTTAATGTGTTCCAGTTTGGGCAAAGCTTCACAACGTCCCAGACATACTCTATGGGATTTAGGTCGGAACTTCAAGCTGGTCAATACAAACGACAAATTATAACAGAAAAGGAAACTTTTTTATTCAACTTCCTTCCACATCGCCGTTTTGCCGTGCATAAAAATTGAGTGTTTAGTCCCCATACGAAGATTTGGGACTAGTCAACGCTTGACTCATCAGAAAACGATCATCCCGTGATTCGGAACCTAGCTTTCTTCTAGAACCAGGCCTACTCTTGACGAAACCGGTTTCTTGATAGAGCTGCCAGGTCCTTTGGACTATTGAACACCTCAAACAGCGCATTAATTTTGCTGGCTTTTATCACTTTATCTACCATTTTTGAGACCGCTAAACATCAATAACAATATTTTAAAATGTCAAGGAAATGAGATAATTCAATATGTAATGGTTGTACGCGTGGGATTGCATACGAACATCCCCTTTACCTTCCCACGCCGATCTGGTCATCGCAGGTCGAAGCGTGTGATTGCGTTACATACGATAAGTGTGTTTCTAATATATTTTTTTTGTCAAATCAAGAGTCGTTGCATACGTTGCGTACGTAGGACCAGTGTGTCTCTACCTTAAATTTGTCTTGTGTTACTACTACAACACTTCAACTTTCCATCCATCTAAAACTAACCATTATAAAAGACAACTGCTGACCATAGGCCTCCCCATAGATTGCCTCATAGTTAACCACGCTTGGCAGGTTGACAACCGAAGCTATTTTGATATCTATCACTTTACTTTTGGTGGATTCCGACTAGTTTAACTAAAAGCTTAACCATTGAACTCATGAGACTTTTTCCCTTATTTTTTTACCTGTTTATTAAGAACTACTAAGAGAAAATAATTCACTTACTTTGTCTACGACAACTGCTGTCTAGTACTGTCTAAGACAAAGTAACTGAATTATTTTGTCTTAGTAGTCACAACACCAGTTCAAATTAAATCACAAAATGAAACTTTATTGTTATTGTATTTATCGGTATCTTTAATCGGAAGTTATCTTGGGAAAATATAATATTAATACTAGGTATTCGAAAGGTATGGGCATTTCTATAATAATATAACACTTATTCTGTATTTACTCAAAAAGCATAAGCAATTCTAACTTAACCGAAATAAACGTAGGTTACCGGTAACCAAAACTACGGGCAATCGAAAAACAAACTATAATAAAACTTGGTAAATGTTTTTATTAATTCTTAAATTCACTAGCCTATTAGGGAAATAAATACTAACTTAAATAAATAAATAAAACAACAAATTTTAAATACAAAGTTATTATAATACACGAGTGACTAAATACAACAGGATGGGTATGATAATATTTTTACAATACACAAGATACATGAAACTCAATATATACAATATAACTATAGACAATAATATTTCAACTGTAACTACAGTTCAAAGCCAACATACGACTTAAGCGACCTATTGCTTATCCAGGCTGCAGGAGAAGTGCACAATGTCTCCATTGGGATACCGCACGAAGGCGCTCTGGTTTCCGAAACGCTTCTTACAAACAGGGCATACGTTGTAATCGTTTATAATTATACTCTTCGATTCGTGGTATTGTTTCACCTCTTTTACCTGGGATTTAAAAATTATATATTAGTATCTCGGTGAAACTGCTTATCATTTGAGAAAAAAAATTACTAAATTAATCGTAACGGGGCTAAATAGGTCATACTTAATATTTGTGACGACGATGAACATGCAGGTTGTCAATGGATACAGATACATCAGGACTGAAATTATTTCAATTTAAAAGGATGTCTAATGTTCAGCAGTATACTTGCGACGGCCTTTTTCAATTTTTTCAATAAAGTATTTTACGTGAAAATGTAGGTATGTAAAACTTAATACATTAAAGGTGTTATTTTTTAAAATTTTCTACTATTAAAAATTTATATACCACGTTTTTTTCATATTCCTACATTATTATCCGATTCTGAGCTATGTTCAAAATTTCAAGTCTCTAGCTCATACCGGAATGACAGAAAGACAGACAGACAAACATGAAAGTGACTTATTAAAACGTGGTAAAATACGATAGTGTCGGTGTTCTATTGTAATTATAATATGATTACGCCGATCCACGGCGAGTTACGGTATTTAAGAGCATAAAGCCATTCTTGACTTTTTAAGCCCATTCCTACACTGACATTATCTGATATTTAAATGTATAATAAGTGAACTGCACCTGTAAATGTTCTGCGTACAAAAGTCCTTTAAGAACTTGCACACGCCTTTTCCGAGTCAACTGTCTTTCGAGCGCGCTTTCCAGAAAATGTTTTAAGCGTCCTAACGGGACTGTGTCTGGCAACACCGATAATGCCTGCAAAATCGGAAATCAGGTACATTTTTAGTAAGTTACATGTCAGATAAATTAAAATATATTTTTACAAGACACCCATACAATCATAATATTTGGCATATTTTTTTAGAAATGAGCCTTTTTGCGGCTCTCCTGATAATAAGTAACTAACGTCGCCCATAAACAACTACAATACCAGATGAATCGCAGGTACGTTGGCGGTCTTTTAAAAACGTTCGTTTCTTGAAGGTCCCTAAGCCGTATCGGTATAATTATTAATAGATAAGAATGTATTAATAATTGAATGTTGCTGCCCTTGTTATAGAAGTCTACTGCACGAGACGTCTTTGGACATTAAAATTTTTCCTTTACACAAAAGTAATTAACCTTCGAAAAAAGTTTTTTACTGGAAAATAGGCCTTCCATTAGTATTCAGATGCGACTCTTAATCGAGGATGGATGTGTATGTCTATGGGCCACAGCGTTCACTTATCATCAGGTAGGCTATGTGCTCGTATCTCCACCTAATTCTATAAAAAAAAAAACAACCTTATGCTATGGGCGACCACGAGGTTAAATGGACGGCCATTTGTGAAGTCGAAATTTCGTGAACAAAAACTATAATAACGCACAGCTCGTTCGTTAGTAGGTTCGTATACATTATTGATATTGCGTGCCGTTTCAGACGCATTGTTTCCGTGTCGGATATCATTTTAAAAAACAATAAGAATTTTCTTAAGAGTTATTATTAATAATATTGCAGTACTAAAGAAACAAAACCGACAGGAAGAAATGAATAACTGATTTTAAAAAAGGAATAACACGCCGTAAATATAAAAAAGAAATTGAATTTATAATTTCAAGTTAAACCATACCAAATACAGTTCAAATCGGCGGCCAGTTAAACTACAATTTCATAGGTAAAGATCTAATAATTGCATTTTTAAAATGCTGCTGCTTATTAATCAATCATAAAACTCTCTTAAAAACAGAAACTTTTTAACAGTGGTAGAGCTAAGCGGTAGCTTTTGCTGTCGCACGGATGGGACAGCTCGAACCGGGGTGGTACCACGACCTCACAGAATACCAGCGTGAAGTAGAGGTTTACCTCTGCGTTGCGCTTGGTGAGTGCAGGTGGCCGGAGGCCCAATCCCCCCCCCCCCCCAACATGGTAGTGGAATTAAATAAAAGACTACCCCAGGAGGGTACCAGCACCCCTGGAGAATCCCTCGCTGAGCATCCACGACCAAACTACTTCACTCCTGAGCGTGGGTGCTCAGGCTGCCCCGCGTATTCTGGGGAGGAGGGGGGGGCAAAATTTCGCTCGCAACCAAGGGACCCCTGTCACGCTATTCGTGAATTTTTGCAACATCAGGGGACTTCATTCCAACCTTAACGCTATCCATTACCATCTAGAGACGGCGAAGCCGGCCTTGCTCTTTTTAACCGAGACTCAGGTGTCCTCTTCGGCTGATACTTCATATCTCTCCTACCCGGGGTACAAATTGGAACACTCCTTTGTGCCCCGGGCTGGAGTTTGCGTATACCTCAGAGAGGACATCTGTTTTTGACGCCTCGGCAGTCTTGAAGGTACGGACTGTCCATCCTATGGCTGCGCGTAGACAGCGACGGCCATCCCCGCGTCTACGGGTGCCTCTATAGGTCCCATAGCGGTAATGCCGACACAGACCAACTCATCGACCACGTTCAAATGGCTGCAGACTCCGTGCTACAACAGGTCCCATCCGCAGAGATCGTGATACTCGGTGATTTTAACGCCCACCACGCTGAATGGCTTGGTTCTTGTTTAACCGATCATGCGGGTAGATTTGTCTATGACTTTGCTTTGGCATATGGTCTAACACAACTGGTTACTTCGCCTACGCGGATCCCAGATGTGGAAGACCATGTACCTTCCCTGTTGGACCTTCTGCTGACCTCTTATCCGGAAGGATATCAGGTCTCCGTCGATGCCCCTCTGGGCTCTTCGGACCATTGTCTGATCCGGAGTACGGTGCCACTCACGCTCCAATCGCAGTTGCGATCTGCAGCTTGCCGCCGTGTTTGGCACTATAGGTCAGCTGATTGGGACGGGATGCGGTTTTTTTTGCATCCTACCCTTGGGGGCGGGTTTGCTTCTGGAAGATCCGAGCGTTGTTGCCGATTCTGTTGCTGATGTAGTACTTCAGGGTATGGAACTTTTTATTCCATCCTCTGTGGTGCCCATCGGAGGCAGATCCCAGCCATGGTTTGGTCGCTCCTGTAAAATAGCATCACGCTATAAGCAGGAGTGCTACCGGGCCAGGGCTGACGCATCAACGTCGCGGGATGTAAACACCAGCGCACTTAAAAAGAAGTATAATTCCGCCTCCAGGTCCTTCAAAAGCGTCATTGCCAAGGCAAGGTCTGAGCACATCGGCAGAATTGGCGAGAAGCTAGTTAGCCTTCCTTCGGCAACCCGTGCATTCTGGTCTCTCGCCAAGGCTGTCCAAGGGAACTTCTGTCAGCCATCTCTTCCATCTCTGCACAAAGAGGACGACTCACTGGCCCATGCCGCAAAGGAGAAAGCCGATCTATTGAGCTCTCTTTTTGCGTCCAACTCGACTCTAGATGACGGGGGGAACACACCGCCGACCATCCCGCGATGTAAGTGCTCCATGCCGGATGTGCGATTTACACAGCGCTCGGTTCGCAAAGCACTCTTCTCCCTGGACGTCAGCAAGTCGAGTGGGCCCGATGGAGTCCCTCCCATTGTGCTGAAGACGTGTGCTCCGGAGTTGGCACAGATTTTAACGCGTCTTTTCCGGTACTCCTACTCCCAAGGCGTTGTCCCGAATTGGAAGACAGCTTTGGTCCACCCGATCCCTAAAAAGGCGACCGCTCAGACCCGTCCAACTACAGGCCTATTGCCATCACCTCCTTGTTCTCCAAAATAATGGAATCCATTATAAACTGCCAGCTCATGAGGTACCTTGAGGATCACCAGCTGATTAGTGAACGCCAGTACGGTTTTCGTCGAGGTCGATCAGCTGGTGATCTTCTAGTCTATCTGACTCCTAGATGGGCGGAGGCAGTAGAGTCCAAGGGGGGGGGGGGGGGCATTGGCCGTTAGTTTGGACATAGCGAAGGCCTTCGATCGGGTCTGGCACAAAGCGCTTCTTTCGAAGCTTCCTTCCTATGGGCTTCCCGAGAAATTGTGCAAATGAATCACCAGTTTCCTTGCTGATCGGAGCATCAAGGTCGTAGTAGACGGCGCATGCTCTGATTTCAAGCCTATCAACGCTGGTGTTCCACAAGGCTGCGTGCTATCACCAACGCTGTTTCTCCTGCATATCAATGATATGTTGCTAACTCGTAGCATTCATTGCTATGCGGACGACAGCACTGGTGATGCCTTATATACCGGCCGTGCCAATATTTCTCGGGAAAACGTCGCTGAGTACCGGGACAAACTTGTGTCTGAAGTCGAGTCTTTGCTTAACAAGGTCTCGGATTGGGACCGACTAAATCTAGTCCAGTTCAATCCCCAGAAGACACAAGTTTGCGCGTTTACCGCTAAAAAGAACCCCTTTGTCGTATCTCCTCAGTTTCAAAGCACTCCCCTTGCTGCCTCAGCTAGTATCGGAATCCTTAGCGTCAACATATCGAATAGTGTGCAGTTTCGTGGTCACTTGGAAGGGAAGGCCAAATTGGCCTCTAAAAAGCTTGGCGTGCTCAGCAGAGCGAGACATTATTTCATGCCGGCACATCGCTTGCAACTTTACAAAGCGCAAGTTCGGCCCCACATGGAATACTGTTCTCATCTCTGGGCCGGGGCACCCCAGTGCCAGCTCCTTCCACTTGACCGCATCCAGCGTAGAGTGGTTCGAATCGTCGCCGACCGAGTTCTTTCTGATCGGCTCGATACACTGGCACTGCGTAGAGATGTTGCATCTCTTTGCATATTTTATCGCATCTATCACGGGGAGTGCTCTGAGGAATTGTTCGGACTAATTCCAGCCGCTCAATTTCACCATCGCACATCGCGACAAAACTCGCGTTACCATCCATACCATCTGGATGATTGGCGGTCCATCACTGTGCGATTTAGAAAAAGTTTTCTCCCTCGCACAACTTCCTTGTGGAATCAATTACCACCAGCGAATTTTCCGGACCGATACGACTTAGGAACCTTCAAGAAAAGAGCTTATACCTTTCTAAAAAGCCGGCACCGCATCTGCAATTCCCTTGGTGTTGCGGTTGTTCATGGACGGCGGTAGTCACTTACCATCAGGTGAGCCGCATGCTCGTTTGCACCCTCTTCTATATAAAAAAAAACAACACATTTTTTCTTGAACAGGGGTTAAAAAAACAGTTTATTTTTAAATGGTATGTTTATTAAAAAACAAAATATACATAATATCAATATATAATCATCCAGGGTTAACTGGTTGACTAATAGAGAATGGCCATAAGGCATTAAGTCCGCTCTTTATATCCCTTCTTATAAGGTAGTATGTAAAAAAGGTTAAATAAATAAATAAAATATACAAGTAAGTGCATTTATCAATAAAAAATATAAACTAAATGTGATGCGGATACTACTTAAAAAAATTATTCCTAGTTATTATACAGCTTCGTCACTGTACATGCGCTTCGTTTACATGACAAACTACTTGCATTGATTGACTTTAAGTAGTTTTCACACTTTCTTAACTTTTGTAATAATTTTAACGAATATATATACCGCGTAGAAATAACGAAAACCACATCCAATAATATGCACGACAAACAAATCGTGGTAGCGCCATGCTGCAGCTATATGTATAGTATAGTTGTAGCACGAATGGGTCGGCTCGACCGGGGAAGGACCACGCTCTCACAGAAAACCAGCGTAAAATAGCAGCCTAACACTGCTGTGTTTCGTATGGTGAGTGTAGAGAACCAGAGACCCATTTTACTAGAAAAGAGGCATTCCATCTTAGTCCTCACGGGTGACGACGCATCTGCATTTTGATTCTTTATTGAGGATAAATGTAGATGTCGATATCAGTTGGACTGTGTGCTCGTTTGTCACCCAATTCTATTACAAGAAAACATCGCCCTATTTATTTTAATTTTCATAAGTTTGTTGCAGACTCATAAGCGCTGCAACCATAACAAGCTTCAGGGTGGCTCTACTAAGTAAATTACTACCATTAAAAAGTTTTTTTTTAAATTATAATTACAAGCAAAGTAATAGTAAGCGACTCCTGGGGGCCATGGACACCTGCAACCAACTTTAAAAAAAGAAGTATACAAATGCGTTGTCAGTTGTCACCACTGAAGAGTAAGATGTTGGATGGGGACTGAGGATTATTCCGAACGGAACACGGCAGTGCACGTACTGCAGTTTAGCGGCCAAAAATTGGTAAGAGGGTGGAATCTATCCAGATGGACCATTTAGCAAATCAGGAGTCCTACCATCTAGATAAATGTTTCAAATAAATATTTACTAGCTTCGGCGAACTTTCATCTACTTCTTACATCTATTACGTGATACAGAATTATCATGCATGCATATATTAATCAATTTTTTTTTTAATTACAAAACTTGTTTTAAATCTATATTATTCTAACTGACCTTTATAGGAGATATTTTATCAGCATGCTTCTCCAGTATAGTCAGAGCCGTTTCAAGATCAGGAACAGAAGCATTAGGATGTCTTGTTACGTTTGAAAGTGGTCCGGACAAAGTTCCATTTTGTTCAGGATTCATCAATATTCTCATTAATATCACGTACACATCGAGAGATTTGTCTTTTGAATTCTCGCAAACCTGTTCACAGTAGCGAATTGCTCTTTCGACGTCACCTTAAATATTATATAAAATTTCACAAAATTAATGAAAAACTTAGAGTACTTAAGCATAACATCTTTAACATAAAAGCAATACCGCCCATGCATACAAATTTAATTATTTTTGGAAATTACCTAAAATCTGTACATAAATCGCCAGCGCTTGCTCATGCCGTCCCAACTTTCCTAATATGACAGCTCGTTCTTCAAACAATGAGTCGTTAGGAAAATGCAATATAACTCTTTCTGGTGTATAATGAGAAGATTTTTCCAGAAAAGCTAAAAGTTTTGATTTAGTATGCTGCAATTCTTCGTCCGTTGTAGGTGCTCCACTTTTGTTCGAATTCTCCATTATTTTTTCTCTGTATGTATTAACCAATGCATCGTGGAATATCGGATTTGTGTCATTCCAAGTGTGAATGACATGTTCTAAGTACGGTGTCACGAGAGATTTATGTTCTCGTAGTAGAAAATCTAAAACTTTCGGTCGTGGAAGATTCTCAACTTCCACTATATCCTCGGTAAATATTTTCAAGCCTTCTTCGGGATGTTCCTCTAATATCCAATCGGAAAACTTGAATATTAAATTGATGTGGTCAGCACCTAATTGTAAATAAAAATATTAAAAAAATTATTTACGTCATTTCGCCACAAAACACGGTCCTGAGCTACCTGTATCCATCACCTTCCTGCATCTCTTAGCAGGTGGTCACTCCACCTAGTGGGGGGAACACACTACACTTACATTCTTTACATCATTTCTTACCTGGTATAATAAGTACGACATGTTATAATGGCATCTATCGGTGGCCTCGAGGTGTTCGTGTCATTCCCTTGTCGTCTCTTACCGACACCCACGGTATGGCTTATATAATACTAAATACAGCTCATGCGCGGGTTTGCAGATAGCGCCATTGCGTCTCGCGTCAATTAAAGCATTGCTAGCGATAGAGCGGACAAGCCCGAGACGCGGTTAGTAAAAGTAGAATGGGTAGTCATCGGGGAAACCTTCAGAGCACGGTTATTAATAGAACGACTTTTGTGCCTGAAGTTCTGTCTGGGTAGGACGTTTTTCTACATAAAAGTAGCAGTGCATTTAAGCAAGGTTGTGTACCAGATCAAAGAGTATGTAGTGCCGGGACATTTACAGACTGTGAGGCATTATACAGTCACGTCGTCTAGTACTAAGGGAGAGTAGCCATCTGCGCAGGACATGATTATAGTGCACAAGTGTGTGCGTAAGCACAGGTGCACTCTCTATTCCCCTAGAGAGATCCAGCGTATGACCAACGGGTTTACGTGCTAACCGAGGCACGTGGATAAAATCCCGCCAGCTTTCTGACTCCGCTCTGCTACTGAGAATTTCTTGACTTTACTGTTTTTAGCCCAACCCGGGATTCGAACACAAGACCTCATGATTAGCAATCGCGTTTACGACCACTAGACCAACGAAGTAGCCATTATATCCTGGTCCTGAGGGATGACAACGCATGTGTAGGCTTCTTTGTTTGAAGTTGGTTGCTTGAAAAAACCCATGCCCATGCCTGCAGCAACTAACCATGAAGTGAACTGCTGTACGTTAGTCATTTTAATGACATATAAGAAGCACTATTCAATTTTATTTTAATCTCTATATGATAAGTAACGTTTTCATTTGAAAATATATACCAAGATGTTGCAAATAATTCTTCGTCCTGTGATAGCCCTTTAGGCTTGAATCAGGTTGCTTAGCTTGCTCCCTCAGCAGCTGCAGCGCTTTTGTATGCTGTCCTTTCGTTTGATATAAAATTATCAGTTCGCTGTGTTTCCCGTGTTGTAATAAAGTTTTTTCGGCCTCCTCTAAGCGACAATTGTTTAAACGTAAAAGAGGCGCTACGAAAGCGTCGTTTGTCTGAAAATAAATTTACCAAAATATAACATTTACAAAAAAATGTAAATACGGCAGGAGATACTCATTTCAATTAAAAATAATATTAGTCAAAATAAAATAGAAATTGTATGGATCTACCATACCAGAAACAACCACTTAACAGTGGTTGTTTCTTATATTCAAAGTAGCGTGTATGTTCGCGTGGAATTTATTACGATTGGATTTCATAGGTTTTCAATTTTTTGCACGGAGCCCTTATTTATTCTACCAAAATAAAAGTAACCCAGTTACTCCTTATAACATCAGCTATCTGCCTGTGAAAATCCCGTTAAAGTCGGTCCAGCCGTTTCGGTGATTAACCGGAACCAATAGACAGACAGACAAAAATTTAAAGTTTCTTTTTTTTTTTTGTTATAAGTACCGTATATTATACATTCATATGCATTTAACAAAAAGCAGTTATTACATTACAAACAGACACTTCAATTTTATTTATTTGTATAGATAACAATATTGTTTTAAAAATAATAATAATTAAAGTTGAAAAGGAAAATAGCAAATTCAAATGATAATTTGAAATAATTTATTAATGATGGTGTCCTTTCCAATAAATTATAGAAAGGGTATATATACATATGAGGCTGAGGCTAACCCCACAGGTCAGATAAGTATAGGCTATCTGCCCCCAGCAGAACGTTTTATCAATTTATTATATATTGTGTTTTAGAAGAGCCTTTAAGGATTTTATATCTAATATACAAATAACTATGTTTGTCGGTTCGTATTTTATGCGCTGCTATACCGTTCATTAGGTTGCGGTAAAACTTTGTCAACTTATTGCTTGCACTTGCAATTAGGTTATATTCTTAGTACAATTAACTTACAGTAGGTGGCGCGCGTAACGTACCGCTAAATTTATTTGAAAGTTATAATTATATCATTCAATTTCATCATTCCTAATTAAACAATATAACTCTTCCAAATTTAAAACGATATTTCCACAAAATTATTTCTTCTGTGGCAGCAACATACCAGTTAGTATTAAATAAAAAATACATAATAGATTATACAACATGTAACAAAACCCCTGTGGTTCCAGTTAAGTGCGTTATCAGAGTCAGTATTCAAACGTAAAGAAATAACTTTTCTTTTCAAAAAACTTGACTCTGATAACGTACTTAACGGTAAGCACAGGGTTTTTGTTACAAGTTGTATACACTGGGGATGATGGTAGTGAACCATGCTATTTCCAAATATGTTTGTATATATACAGGGTATTTTTGGAACGCTCCCGAAAACTAAGACAGGCGACAGCACCAAGTATACCTTTGATCATGGGTCATAAATAAATTTGATCCTGATGAAAAAAAAAACATATTTTTACAACGTTTTATTAGCTTTATTCACGCGTCATCATGTTAGTACAGCTAAATGAAACGATAATTTCATTAAAAAAATCATGAAAAGACTGAAACATAAAACCAGCAGTGGAAACTGAATTGATATCACCTGACTAATGGAGGTTAATGTACGCGCGAACGGTGAAAAAAGAACGCTGGCCTTGAACTTGGGCACTGAGCGATTTATCACATATTGGCCAGTATTACTGTGCCTGCATGCTATTGGTTCCCGCGCTTTGTTCGCTCCAAAAATACAGTCGCATACACAGCTTACTTTGCGACTCGCGACGATGTTTTAAAAAGGAAGGAAAAAAAATTATTTATATCTATTGTTTTATGACTAAACTAGTGAACGAAAAAGTGAATGGGGAAAATTGTGCAGTAAAGTTAAAATTGTTGAGGAAGAATACCGAAAAAATTACCATGTGATCGACCTGATGACGGAAGCTCAAGCGAAGATGAAAGTGATGATGAAGTAGCATCCAGTAACACCAACACACCATCAACATCTGGCTTCCATGTGACCCAAGACGTCATAATGGACGGCGTGTCACCCTTAGCTTAAGTTTTTTTGTTACAAACTACTTTATATTTTACGATAGAAATAACAAACAATGCTCAAGTAAACATTATCTATTTTTAATTCCCACCTCTTCCAAAGTTCTAAGTAGCTAGTAAAACACCTGTTACGGCCTACGGTTGCTCCCTTAAAGGATCCAATCCCCCGGGGCCCATCAGCAGAAGACTTCCCGAGCAAACGTAGGTCGGGCCTCCTAAGGCCACGTGGAATCTCTCTAATTACACTAAATATATGGGGGAGCGTTATACTACGGCCAGTCGACCGGAAGGAATTTGGCGGGGTTCACTTACCTCTATCCAAGGCGACTGGTTCCTCCGGAGTCGGTCAGGTCGCATGTGGTTGTGTAGTGCAAGGGAAAGAATGGTGATGTGGTGTGTATCTGGGTGTGACTGATGGTGATTGAACCTAGACCTTAGCCGTCGGCAACAGCCCGAGCGTCGACACCGCTTCAACTTGAGGGGGCCTTTCGAGGTTATCCACAGTCACTTTCTTGGTTCACCACGATGCCAGTCACTTAACTCTATCGTACGATTAACTAGCTTACAGAAGCCACTAACTATCGCGGGGTATAAGGTTACCGCACAAAACACGCCCGGAGTTTCTAGGTCAAAGGTCACTACCGTTTCGCGTGGCAACAGTTCTAAATACCGAGGCCGCACTAGCTTATATTGTCGAATGCACTTATACAGATTCTAAGTCGGACCCAATAAGTCCCGGGAAAGGCTATCCAAACAGGGAATGCGCGTTATAATTCCTAGACAGGATATTTACTAGACGCCCTAACTATTCCGCGGTTCCCGCACAAAATTAACAGCGTGCAAACATTAGCACATCTGGCAGATGACTCACTCGCTTGCGACCCGCGCGCCACTGTGACGCTCGGAAGAACTTCAGACCGGAATCGCGCCGAGCCGAGTGACATCTGGTGTCGATTCCGACAACAGAGTTTTGCGCGAACAAACCCCCGTCCCGGACATAAGGATTTAGGTCCGCGAGCAAACCGGTCAGCGGGACAAGGTCGAGACTGCAAGTTGCAAGACCGAATCTACAACCAAACTAGGCCACCTTAGGCAATCTATTAGGTCTTGCAACCCTAATCAACGCCTCAAAGATATCCCTAATGTGGCAAGCCGGAGGGTCAGCCTCCACTGGATGCCCCTCCTGGGCATCGCAGCACTTTAATAAGTCCTGTACTGGACAGAAGTCCGACGACCTCTTTCAAACACCATCTGTGCCCCTATGATTAGTTCCGCAATCCGACCGGATCAGCTCTGCAAACAGTGACGCGACACGAAGCGGCCTCGAGCGGCCTCCTAAGCTTCAGTGCAGAGAGCACCCACAAATTCCACATGAACGTCGTCTGTGGAGAGCCGAACGAAACGCACAGATAGTCCCTAGTATGAATTTTCAACAAGTAGGCCTAGCCAGGCCACCCACCATATTATCATTTACTAAAATAGTGCGGCAGCTGATTTCAATCTGATAATCTCCAAAACTAGCTAGCCTGTTAGACAAGTAGTCCTATGCTCATATTTCAACAAATTTTTCAAAAGCATCAATGTTCAACTACAGAATTAATTCAACCAAATTAATCACCGATGCGCATAGGTCAACTTGCAAATTAAACAAAACAATAACGTAAGGGACAGCCCTACTTCTTAGAAAACAAAAATGATTAAACACTATCCTAAACATAAACATAATTTTTCAAATAGTGCGCCATTCCATTTCAGATGAATTCAAATTTTCCTTTCAGCAAACAAACGCAACAATCAAATACAGTGATTAAATATATGTACAAAACACATGCAGTAGCATTTAAAGGAGTAGATTAAATTCAATTCTTTTAATTTAAACCGCTACAAATAGGAGAATTTCGCGGAAAGCCCAAAGCAATTTTTAATTTTAATTCAAGTATTTTTTTTTTTGACTAAGTGCTCGACCAAACCAAATCTAATACCCCTTGACAGCGTGATTCAACGCTACAGGGGGACCCTAATCTTCCCACCACCAAGGGGAGGCCACATGGCGTGAACCCGAGATAAATAGAGCACAACCTTTAACAGTTGCCACTCGGGTTGTACGCCTTCACTGAGGCCGTCGGCAACAGAACATTTTGACAAGTGGACCGTTGACGGCTTAAGGCTCAGTGGAGGCGGCCGTGGTGGGAACTAAGGCAGCAGCTAGACAGGGCCGCCTCCATCAAATGGGGAACAGTGGTACACCAGTCGCGGCCACTCAGCTAACGGAAGTGAGAAGGGTCCAGCGGACCGATGAGTGGCCGTGAAGTTCCTCTCCACACGCTGAGGGGGGGTGATGACACCCCCGCCCCTGGGGGAATTACCCCCCGACTGGTCGGGGGAGGGACTCCTTTCAAACTTAGGGGCCTGGTGGCTGGACGGCGGGCGCCGACAGTCACCCTGCAGAGGGCGTGGCTGAGCGCCCCCGCCCGTGGGGGTCGAGGGCCTGGCAGAGCCCCGAGAGGAGATGCCGTTCGCACCCAGGCACAAAACGGCATGGTGATTGCCCTGGCAATGCAGACAGGGCCGTCGATGCGGACAGTCTCGCTGGAGGTGCCCTCCCAGACATGACCAGCACCAGCGGCGCTCCTTGGCGATAGTTCGCCTCGCTGGAACCGGCTTACCTAATAATTTCGGGCACGACGTTACCCGGTGATCAGATGCTCGACAATAGGAGCAGGGGGGGGTTGACGACGACTTGCCTGGCGGGTTCAGCCTCTCACTGGGCACGTCTCGCAAGTCGTCAACGGTGCCCGCCGCGTTCTCGATCTGCCGGCACTGCTCCTCCAAAAACCGCAGCAGGTCATAGAAGGGCGGAATATAGGAGGCCTCGTCCCCGCCGTACCTCTCCTCAAAATGGATTCGCAGGTCGAGAGGTAGACGGGACAGCACGATGCGGAGCAACAAAAAAGCCCATTCGCCCACTGGTAAACCCAGCCGCCTCAAAGTATTACAGGCCACCAAGACTGGATCCAACAGGTCCGGACGCAGTCTGGCCCGGTCACTAAGCAGCGGGAGGCT